TATTATAAAAAAGAATAGTCACTCTTTAAATGTGAAGTGCAACTATTCAAGAAAAAATTTATTATGTCACAAACACGGCACACTACACCAAATGTCACAATATAAGTGGTTAAAAATTCTTTTTCAAGTATCTAACCAATTGTATTATGCACATAGTATACCAGACAATGTTCTCAACACATTGAAAAATTTCTTCAATTATTCTTGTTTAATATTAAAATGATGATAAAATTCAAGGGTAGATCCTGGAGCAAGAACAAAAGGAAGAGAAAGAATGTTGTTTTATAAAATGATTGAGTTGAATTTGAATTGCTAATAACAAAATATTCAAAGTTTGTTAAAATAAAGAGTTGTTGGAGATAAAAAATAAATAAACTAAGTAGCTAAAGTAGTTTTTTGGTACTGTTCACTTGCTTGTTTAACTTCTCTCGGAAATGCTCTAACAACTTCAATGTGCAAGACATTACAACCTCAACCCAACCTATCATATAACATGCATCTATTGGATGAACGATGTTTTGTTTGAACATATTTATTCCACAAGTGACACTACCAAAACTATATTTTAAAAGATCAATGAAAGTGAAAGGCTTGAATGTAATCAAAATATAAATATCAATGCATTTGTAAAATATATTTTACGTATGGACCTGCATTTTCAGCCCTCCTCATCCCATACCTTTCTATTTATGTGGTCACGGTTAAACCACGTCAACATTTTTATATTCCCATTGCTTTTTGTTTTATTATTTCTATAAAAAAAATCAATATAAAATTTATGACCCTATGATGTACGATAAACAGATAGGATGTGAGGATAAACAAGTATCTAACCAATTGTAAAATTTGAATTCAGATGGAATCCAAATTCCTGTAAAACAACTCTATTTTAAAAGGATCAAATTTTAAAAATATATCTAGATGTTGTAAAAGAGTTTATATTATAAAAAATGAATAGTCACTCTTTAAATTTGAAGTGCAACTATTCAAGAAAAATTTTATTATGTCACAAACACGGCACACTACACCAAATGTCACAATATAAGTGGTTAAAAATTCTTTTTCAAGTATCTAACCAATTGTATTATGCACTTAGTATACCAGACAATGTTCTCAACACATTGAAAAATTTCTTCAATTATTCTTGTTTAATATTAAAATGATGATAAAATTCAAGGGTAGATCCTGGAGCAAGAAGAAAAGGAAGAGAAAGAATGTTGTTTTATAAAATGATTGAGTTGAATTTGAATTGCTAATCACAAAATATTCAAAGTTTGTTAAAATAAAGAGTTGTTGGAGATAAAAATAAAAAAAAATTAAACTAAGTAGCTAAAGTAGTTTTTTGGTACTGTTCACTTGCTTGTTTAACTTCTCTCGGAAATGCTCTAACAACTTCAACGTGCAAGACATTACAACCTCAACCCAACCTATCACGTAACATGCATCTATTGGATGAACGATGTTTTGTTTGAACATATTTATTCCACAAGTGACACTACCAAAACTATATTTTAAAAGATCAATGAAAGTGAAAGGCTTGAATGTAATCAAAATATAAATATCAATGCATTTGTAAAATATATTTTACGTATGGACCTGCATTGTCGGCCCTCCTCATCCCATACCCTTCTATTTCTGTGGTCATGATTAAACCACGTCAACATTTTTATATTCCCATTGCTTTTTGTTTTATTATTTCAAAAAAATAAAATCAATATAAAATTTATGACCCTATGATGTACGATAAACAGATAGGATGTGAGGATAAACAAGTATCTAACCAATTGTAAAATTTGAATTCAGATGGAATCCAAATTCCTGTAAAACAACTCTATTTTAAAAGGATCAAATTTTAAAAATATATCTAGATGTTGTAAAAGAGTTTATATTATAAAAAAGAATAGTCACTCTTTAAATTGAAGTGCAACTATTCAAGAAAAAATTTATTATGTCACAAACACGGCACACTACACCAAATGTCACAATATAAGTGGTTAAAAATTCTTTTTCAAGTATCTAACCAATTGTATTATGCACTTAGTATACCAGACAATGTTCTCAACACATTGAAAAATTTCTTCAATTATTCTTGTTTAATATTAAAATGATGATAAAATTCAAGGGTAGATCCTGGAGCAAGAAGAAAAGGAAGAGAAAGAATGTTGTTTTATAAAATGATTGAGTTGAATTTGAATTGCTAATCACAAAATATTCAAAGTTTGTTAAAATAAAGAGTTGTTGGAGATAAAACAAAATTAAACTAAGTAGCTAAAGTAGTTTTTTGGTACTGTTCACTTGCTTGTTTAACTTCTCTCGGAAATGCTCTAACAACTTCAACGTGCAAGACATTACAACCTCAACCCAACCTATCACGTAACATGCATCTATTGGATGAACGATGTTTTGTTTGAACATATTTATTCCACAAGTGACACTACCAAAACTATATTTTAAAAGATGAATGAAAGTGAAAGGCTTGAATGTAATCAAAATATAAATATCAATGCATTTGTAAAATATATTTTACGTATGGACCTGCATTGTCGACCCTCCTCATCCCATACCCTTCTATTTATGCGGTCACGGTTAAACCACGTCAACATTTTTATATTCCCATTGCCTTTTGTTTTATTATTTCTATAAAAATAATCAATATAAAATTTATGATCCTATGATGTACGATAAATAGATAGGATGTGAGGATAAGCAAGTATCTAACCAATTGTAAAATTTGAATTCAGATGGAATCCAAATTCCTGTAAAACAACTCTATTTTAAAAGGATCAAATTTTAAAAATATATCTAGATGCTGTAAAAGAGTTTATATTATAAAAATGAATAGTCACTCTTTAAATTTGAAGTGCAACTATTCAAGAAAAAATTTAGTATGTCAGAAACACGGCACACTACACCAAATGTCACAATATAAGTGGTTAAAAATTCTTTTTCAAGTATCTAACCAATTGTATCATGCACTTTGTATACCAGACAATGTTCTCAACACATTGAAAAATTTCCTCAATTATTCTTGTTCAATATTAAAATGATGATAAAATTCAAGGGTAGATCCTGGAGGAAGGAGAAAAGGAAGAGAAAGAATGTTGTTTTATAAAATGATTGAGTTGAATTTGAATTGCTAATAACAAAATATTCAAAGTTTGTTAAAATAAAGAGTTGTTGGAGATAAAACAAAATTAAACTAAGTAGCTAAAGTAGTTTTTTGGTACTGTTCACTTGCTTGTTTAACTTCTCTCGGAAATGCTCTAACAACTTCAACGTGCAAGACATTACAACCTCAACCCAACCTATCACGTAACATGCATCTATTGGATGAACGATGTTTTGTTTGAACATATTTATTCCACAAGTGACACTACCAAAACTATATTTTAAAAGATCAATGAAAGTGAAAGGCTTGAATGTAATCAAAATATAAATATCAATGCATTTGTAAAATATATTTTACGTATGGACCTGCATTGTCGACCCTCCTCATCCCATACCCTTCTATTTATGCGGTCACGGTTAAACCACGTCAACATTTTTATATTCACATTGCCTTTTGTTTTATTATTTCTATAAAAATAATCAATATAAAATTTATGACCCTATGATGTACGATAAATAGATAGGATGTGAGGATAAGCAAGTATCTAACCAATTGTAAAATTTGAATTCAGATGGAATCCAAATTCCTGTAAAACAACTCTATTTTAAAAGGATCAAATTTTAAAAATATATCTAGATGCTGTAAAAGAGGTTATATTATAAAAATGAATAGTCACTCTTTAAATTTGAAGTGCAACTATTCAAGAAAAAATTTAGTATGTCAGAAACACGGCACACTACACCAAATGTCACAATATAAGTGGTTAAAAATTCTTTTTCAAGTATCTAACCAATTGTATCATGCACTTTGTATACCAGACAATGTTCTCAACACATTGAAAAATTTCCTCAATTATTCTTGTTTAATATTAAAATGATGATAAAATTCAAGGGTAGATCCTGGAGCAAGAAGAAAAGGAAGAGAAAGAATGTTGTTTTATAAAATGATTGAGTTGAATTTGAATTGCTAATAACAAAATATTCAAAGTTTGTTAAAATAAAGAGTTGTTGGAGATAAAAAAAGATTTAACTGAGTAGCTAAAGTAGTTTTTTAATACTATTCACTTGCTTGTTTAACTTCTCTCGGAAATGCTCTAACAACTTCAACGTGAAAGACTTTACAATCTCAACCCAACCTATCACATAATAAGCATCTATTAGATGAACAGTGTTTTGTTTGAACGTATTTATTCCACAAGTGACCCTACCAAAACTATATTTTAAAAGATGAATGAAAGTGAAAGGCTTGAATGTAATCAAAATATAAAATTTACGTGATCGGGCACCCTTATCGAAGTTTTCTCGAATCACACAAAATAAATGAGTAATGATGATTGATCGATCCATCAAGAAATCCAGTGTCATTTCGCTGTCACTTCAAAGCAACAATTGATCACAGTTTTCCACGGGCAAGTAAATATTTGGTACAGCAAAATTACGGTATTATCCATCAAATCAATTTCGTTCGAGGTGACCAAAGGAGGCATCTCCAGACGAAAATTATCAGGCGGCATCTCAGAGAGCCATCTCAAATCTCTGACCTTTAACCTGCAACCATGTCTCTTTTTCTTTTTCTTTGATGCGATTGCTTCAAAAACCAATATTTTTAGCATTTTAGCATGCAGATTCTTGTGTTATAAGCCCAAGAACCCTTTGGACTGCAAAGTTGGTGAGTGTACTTCCGGTGGCGGAATTCTTGGATACAGGCTGCCTCATTCATCAGCCTCACACAATGGGTCGACGGTGTGTGTGCCACACCCATTGTTTGAGGATGCCACAGCCCGTACCCAAGAATCTCTCCTTCGGGTGAGTATATTTTTGGTCTTTGGGGACAGGGTTGGGTTAAGAGTGAGCATGAGAAAATGGACACATTTCCAGTGCACCATGTATAATTGAGTTTGCAAGTGAATTCAAGCTCAAGAAACTATGGAAGGTTAAATGCTCCCATTTTACCATAACATCATGTTACTTTACATACCTGATGGCCAAGCACACTTTCGCAAGTTCTGAATCGACCACAAGGGTTGTAACGAGGTCAAAGGGGACACATGCTTTTAATTTTTAGAATAAGAAACAGCAGAGAATCATGCCAACACTCAATCAAAAATTTAAAGATGCAGCTGTAGACAAGTCTGATTTACTTGGAAGTCATGAGACAGCAAGTTTACTAAGTTGTCGATGTCAAAAAATGCGCTCTGAGGCAGTTTTTGCTTCTGCTGGAAGCTGGAGTAATTCTCGAATCCCTTCGCAGACCTGCAAGCAATTTATAGTAAGACTGTTGTAGGCAAACACTTCCAGTACTATGCCAAATTCTGTACAATCACAAAGAATATGATATTTGGAAGTTCTAAAGGAGGGGAAAAGGCTTTAATCCTTTGATCACAATTTCATATTGCCTTTTTACGGGCGTTCTGTCTTATACTTTCTATTTTGGAAGCAAATACTATCTGAATTATTAGGAACACATACTTATAAAAAACACAAAAATATCCCATCCAAATGAGATAAACCGGAGACCATCACACAATTTCAAGTTCTGCAACCCATGTCCAAGGAAAAATGTAACTAATAAAGTAGAAAGCATTGCTGCAAGTGAACATACCAGCTTTATCTGGGCTTTAATTGATGCAATAAGGTTAGTACACTCTTCAACTTGCCTACAGAGATTGATCAGACGCATTAATTTGACAGTACTTAATCAAAGAAGACGGAAGATATTAAAACAGGGAAAAGGGGTTTTTCAACGAATCTAGTAGGATACATTTCACTAATATCTACTAGATTTCGACAAATTTTATTTTGTTTCTGTCCTGTAATCCAATCTGCCATAATAAAACCATCCAAGAAAACCAACATGGAACAATTACAACAAAAGCTCGTACCTGGCTAACTTTTCTTCTCTTTGAGATATGTAATTTAAAGCTTCAGACCAGGTGAACTCCACATGAAATCCTAGTCCAATATCTACAAATATGCGTCGTGTATCTGGCCTGTGAACATGCAGACAGAGAGAAGGTGAATCTGCCCCATCCCACAGCAATAATAAGGAACAGGTAAAAACTAAAAATCCATCGATATCAAAGATGGAAACAAAACTAAGAATGATAATAGTTTCAACACTAGTAAACAAAACATACGAACATATAATGCTTTTGATGAAGATTCCAATGTGTGGACGTGGATCGTGGTAACTACCAATTTAGCCTAACATACCTATGATTACGAACAACGTAGTGATTCTAGTGAATATAAACTTACACACAAATGGAATTGGTTACAAAGTTTTAATCAAAATCAGAACCCAAGGGACACTAAGAAGTCAATAAAGAGGCACCAAAACGTGGTTTACATACGGCTCATTTCGGGTTAGTAACATTATATCTCCTACTCAATTTTTCATGGAAAGTTTGTAACCGGTTCTATTTATGCGTATCTCCCGTACCATATAAAGCACAATTAGAGAAAGTTGAACGATACAGCGATGCTAACACTTACACGTCAGCTTGCATATAAACTTCAGAGCCAAGATTCACCAAACTCCTAAGACTGGTCACACTATTTTTCTCCAAATTCTCAATGTTCTTCCGCAAATCCGAGCTTTAATTTGAACGAAAGTCAAGAAAACACCTTCAAAAACCAAAAAACACCAAATGGAATTGCATATTCCGAATGTCGAGTTTCCAAAAAAAATCACATTTGGGTAAAATTTAATTAATCAAAACGAAAGAGGGAAAACCGAAAAGGATACAAAACTTTTTGTTGCTCGAACACCTTGTCCCTGCAAAGCAAGAATCACACCCAAAAAAATATACAATTAAATTTGATAAGAAAATAGGAAACCCTAATCAAAGTTGATAAGCAATTAAATTTGATGCAACTGGACCTTGGTATTGGTAATGCACGCAAAGAAAACCCTAGAAAACGGGTTCCAGTAAAGTAGTGGGGAGAGGGCGTACGAAACGGTACCGTTGAGCAATGGCGCGGACGAGGTCAGGTTTGAGGCGTTGGTCGACAAACTCCTCGAATTTCTGAATTTTGTTTTGGCGGGAGATGTCCATGAGCGCTGGACTAAACTGGATTTGCAAAGCTCGCTTGCTTCTCTGCACACAGAAAATCGGTCTCTGGAGGTAAACGACGATGCAGCTGGAGGGATGATAGGCTTTGATCCAACGACGTCCCCGATTTGGGTCCCGGACCAATTTGGATGGACAGCATTATTTTTACTGGCTTATAGGGGTACAGGCCCAAGCCCAAAATATCTTCATTGGCACGAACTGGAAAAGAAAAGTAAAAAAAAAATAAAAAATGTGAACCTTTTTGTCCTTATCCAACAGCCCTATACCGGTTCGTGTTCCGAGTACACGAAGGGATCCTTTCAAAATCTCTTCCTCCTAATCCATCAAATCAAAAGATCGATGCTATTGAAATTTGATCAAACAGTTACAAACAAGAACCCACTTTAAAAATTATAATAACTTCAACCGTTGAATCAGTTTTCAACGTACAGATTCCTTGATTTTGTGGATTAGGAGAAAAGAAGACTTTAAAAATTATAATAACTTCAACCGTTTGATCAATTTTCAACGGTACAGATTCCTTGATTTTGTGGATTAGGAGAAAATGATCCTTTCCGGATCTCTCCCCAAAAATAGGAAGTTGGCTTCCCTGCAACAGAGTTTATTTTTGTTTCCTTGATTCTTTTTTTTTGTTAAAAACTGAAGTGTGCATGAAAGAAAATGGATAAGTTGAGATACTCTCCGTATTACCATTTGGTTTTGCAGTGCAAATTTGGATAAGCTTAAAGTAACTTACCTGTATGAATTACACTAACACTAATTTGGCATAATGTATCGGAAAATAAAAATATATATGAATTGAACTACGGATAATTTATTCTTGAAGAAAATAACGCTTCCCATCACTTCCTTTGTGGCCTTGAGAATTCTTTTCCTCATTCTTCACTCTCCTAGCTCCCTCGACAAGTCAATTTTTTGCAATCAAATGAAGTAAATACTAACCAGCTGAAGGCACTTGAGGTTACATCCGGCCGTGAACGCTTGCTCGGAAGGTCTACCAATGCACAAGTTTGCGGCATTTAACAGCCGGTGACCACAAACTGGCAACGAAATCCTAATTTTTCATGCAGCAGCTCCCATCTTCAAAGTAATTGTATCAAAAAGTTATGTTGATGGTGTCATTGAATGCCAACTGATTCAGTAGAAAAGGTTATTGTTTCCAAAATCGAATGAGATTCACCATCCAAAGATGTTTCCATCTTCAAAGATCTGCAACTGAAGTAGAAAACTGCACTGTTCATGGAGTCGATAAGCACCACAAACGAATACATGATCACCAAAAGAGGCCCTTCCCAAATGCGCGAAGACCCGTCTCCGTAACTCAAAGTCTTCACCCTATGCTCAAACAATCCCTCAACAAACGCCATTCCAATACTCGATCCAAGAAATATCAGAAGCCCCACCTGAGTTTGTCCCTTGATCAAAACCCCAGACTGAACCAATGCCTCTGGTCCAGAGACATCCTCCAACACAGAGATCACAAAAGCAATGTTGCAAATAATAATGGCATTGGCAAAAACGACCGAGAAGGCGAGCCCAACCACCATTGCAGCATACACAATATAATTCGGGGACAACCCCACTATCGAACATGCATTGCACACAGCAAGAAGAAGGACCAAAAACAAGACAACGCTACCAGCAACCACCATACACATCCACATATAAGTTGAAACAACCCGCCTCCATATCTTGCACATAACAAAGTAAAACTGGGATGCATCAAACTTCTTCAGGGAGTAACTACAGTACACGGAGTAAACCACCGCAGCCTTCGACAACAATGATAATGTGATGTACAAGGGAAAGCACATTGTACACGAGATAGCCATCTCAGCTAACTTCTGGCAAGAGTGACTGATAAAATCCCTCAAAGGGAGTCCACTGGACTTTGCAATTAACAGCATCCTAATGGTTAGTCTCTTTACAAGTGACTGATCAACTAGGAAATTCGACAAAAGCACGGCGGAAATTGGGCAGATTAGCAACATGGCAATCGCCAAAAACCCCCACGAATTGTACCGGAGAATTCTAACAGTTTCCCTCAAAATCTCCAGAGCACTCATCGAATGAAATCTATGATCGTTACCAGAGAGATCTAACTCAAATCTACGCAAATGGGGTTCTTCGGATCCCTCTTTTTTCGAGTGATCCAATCTCACTCTTGGTGAACTTTCAGCTTCCATTTTTTTTTTCTCCAAATCAATCACTCACAACACCAATTCAACAGAATTACAAAACATATAAAATGTATATATATGTGATGACAATTAAAGATCAAACGGAGCTAGATTCAACTCAAAACGCAAAACGCAGAAGCCAGATTCGCATGAAAAGATTTACCGGCACTACAGATCTGAGGAGTCACGGAATACAGACGGGACAGTACTTTGAAAGCTGGGAGGCCGCATTGGGGGTGGTGATGGAGAGGCGTTTCGCGGAGGTTCTCCGGCGAGATTGGCGGAGGAGGAAGGCGTTGAGAAGGAGGGAGCTCTGACTCTCATGGAGGATTTGATTGAGAATCGTGCAAGGCGTGTGGAATTTGGGCGTGAAGGAGAATTAAAGAAATGAATGAAGGAAATGAGAGTGTGCTCGTCGGTGAGTTTAACTTGGTCGAGCTTTTATATGGGATTGTGGTGGAGCCAACAGGATCCTCTCCGGATCGTTTGGTGAGGATGGGGATCCGTGAATCGTGTCTGTTCATCGTACATCATACCATCGGTTTTTATTAAGTACTGTTTATGTTTATTTTTAAATAAAAATATTTAAAATAATTTATAACTGCATGATGTACAATGTACGATGAACATACACAATTCACAAATTCTCGAAATCCTCACAAAGAGCATCCGGCAAAGATCCGGACTCGTGGTGGAGCTGCCTGCTGCCAGCTGCTTACGCTCTGGACGGCGACGTTTTGGACTTACTTTTGTTTGTTTGTTATTATACGGCTTAGGAGAAAATTGTTTGTTTCTCGGAGGATACAATGAAGAATTGGTTTAGTGAAAAATAAATAATAAAAGAAATGATATTGTGTACAATTTGATATGTTAAGGTCTCGTTTGGCACTGCTTTGAGAAGTGATAGAAACACGTTTCCATAAACAATTTTACAACAAGAGTTTTCCATAAAAGAACTCAAATGAGAGTAATCAATGGTTGTACATTGCACCTAATTCAAGTGACATAACAGCGATATTAGAGTAGAGAGTTTTGAACCCACGACACATGAGTGGAAACTCAATACCGTTCCACTAGGATATTAGACCACATGCGTAGATTCAAAATCATTCCTTTGTGTATAAATATACTAATTACCACATGAAAAGAGTGATTACAAGTAACAAGACTTTAAATCTAAATTCACTTTTTTTTTTGTATAAATATACTAATTACCACTTGATTATTATAATTGGGGTTTTTTTTAATTCAAAATAATAATTGAGATTGGCATAACTCATCGATTTGATCCCTGATAATGAAAATCGATAAAAGGGGTTTCTGAGTTTGTCTATTGTAAATCATTTTGGTTATTCTATAAAAAAATATGTCAATATCTTCGATAAATTGCCACGTGAATGACCACGTAACCAGACACTTTGGTCAAATTAATCATTCCACTTAACGAGGATATTGACAGATTTTTTTACAATAATACTAAAATGATTTGCGATGAGTAAATTCAAGAATCACTTATACGATTTGCATTTTCATGGACTAAAAGGTAAGTACTGCTTTGGTAATGCATGCATGTCTCTTTTCTTTTTCTTTTTTTCTTTTTTTTTATGGAAAGGTATAATATTCGGTAAGATGTACAAGAGGATAGAAAATAAGATTATTAAAGAGTTTTAAAATGACGGAAATTGAAATGATGGAAAATTTGTGAATTTTGTTGTTTGTTAACCTAAAAGAATACTTGAAGTTGAATACATAATTTGTTATTTTTAAACTCTTACTCGTAGAAATTTAGAAATGACACATATTTACATGAAAGTTAAACTTGGGAATTGGATATTCCAAATTCCAAGTTTTTTTCCATGCGAAAATTTTAAATTTATACGTTTATGAATCCAAACAAAGAAATTGGTACATGTCCATTTATAAACTCTGACTTTTATAAAAAATCTAAGTTAATTTCCCTAATTCAAACATAATGTAAAAGAACTTTACTAGAACTTTCAAACCGAAATAAAAATAGAGAGGCCACCATACATTCTAAGTCTATATTAGTAGCATGACAATGGGTTTCAATTAAATACCAGTACGGTGCAACTACCAAGCAAGCATGAGAATTAAATATTTTTCTATTGCAAATACTGCGATTTAGTGATATTTTTTTGTCTTTCTAAACAAAGTATAATATTTGTAAAATATAAAAGAAACACAAATGAAAGTCAAGTTAAAAAAAGCGACTCAATTAAAAAAAAAGTGATGTTTGAAGTACTTTTCAAGGGACATTTTTAATAAATACCCCAGATACGAGTGAAATTTACACGAAACAAATTTAGTTATTGTATCTCAACTCTATTAGGCTGTTACATCTTTTAATTTTAGGACGTGGATTGTCTGCCCTCCCATTTCGGTGCCGTCCTCGTGCCTTTCTATTTGTGTGGTTACGGTTAAGCCACGTTAACATTTTATATTACTATTTCTTTTTGTTTTATTATTTTTATAAAAAAATAATATAAAATATTAACGTGACTTAACCGTGACCACATAAAACAAGAGGGCATGAGGAGGACACCGAAATGGGAGCCAGACAATCCAAGTCCTTAATTTTATTCACGTAACATTGTGTGATTGACGTGATACAGCATTACGTTTGACTGAGTTGTACCGGCGGCCCGACGAAGACCAACCCAAGAAAATATAGCCAGGCCCGTTCAGTCCCCAACAGCCAATTCCTCCAAATTATCACCTTCTTCATCATTGGCTTCCTTCCACCTGCAGTTCCAAAACCTTCAAACTTCTTCGTTCCGGATCAGCCATGGCAATCCCATCTCCGCCTCTAACAGTTTGCACAGTCCTCAACGAATCCAAGCGCATAGTCAACGCCCACTCCTGCCACTTCCTAGCCCTCTCAGTCCTCTTCCTCCTCCCTCTCGCCTTCTCCTCCACCGTTTACCCCACAATCCAGAACCTCCTCGCCGATCGAGTCCCAGACAACTCCAAGATATTCCTCGAAATCTCAACTTTCGACCCCCATCAGCACCAACCCATCATCCCCGCCAAAACCCTTCTCATCGCCCTTGCTTTCTCCCTCTTCGCCGTCGTCTTCTCCCTCTGCGCCCTTGGGTCGATCACTTACAGTGTGTTTCACGGATTATATGGCCGGCCGGCCAAGCTCGTCTCCGCCGTCAAATCCGTCGTCTCCTCCTTCTTCCCTCTATTGGGCACTGCTTTCATTTCCCAGGTCCTCGTTTTATTGGTTTTTGTTCTTTTCGGGCTGTTCGTGTTCTTGGTGGTTCGAGGAGCTGAGCTCATGGGGTTTGAATTGGAGTACTCTTCGCCTTATTTCATTGGGTTTTTAGCGGTTGTTGTGACTGCTCTGTTTCTGGTTTTGCTGCATCTTCAAGTGAATTGGACACTGGCTGGTGTTGTGGTGGTGGTAGAATCAAAATGGGGGTTCGGGTCCTTGACCCGAAGTGCGAATTTGATCAAGGGAATGAGATGGGTGGCATTGCGGTTGCTGATATTTTTCGGCTTTTTCGTGGGGGTTTTGGGGTTCTGCAGTTGGGTTTCGGCATTGGATTTGAAGGGAGATACTGATGGTTGGAAGAGCTGGGCGTTTGTGGTGCAAATTGTGGTGACTGCGACTTCTCTCGTGCTGCTCATGCTCTACAATGCCGCCGCAAATACGGTGTTGTATATGTATTGCAAGGCCGTGAATGGTGAGCTTGCCATGGAAATTGCTGAGGAGTTTGCTAGGGAGTATGTGAGCTTGCCCTTCGACAACGGAAAAGTCCCTCATCTTGTTTCGGTTGCATATGCTTGACGAGGAGCTTCAGGTCAGTCTGCAAGCTCTGCTTTAGAATGTCTGCACTCGTTATTTGCTAGTGTAGTTTAGTACATCAGAGTCGGACTTTATGTGTAAAAGAATAAAATCAAATGTATGTGATCAATACAAATGGCTTGTAAATACAATTGGTGTTGCCTGATTTTCGTGTTTCGACGATTGTGGGAAACGGATGGCATTGTTGTTTTCGGATTGGTATGTAAAGCGAAGCCATAGCGCTTGCAGCTCCTTCTGAAAGTTGTTTTCGTGTTTAGACTAGCTACTATCCGGTAACCCTAACATTAACACTGATTTCCACAATTTGTTCCAACGAAGAAGCTATCTGCGCATTTAGATCTGTCGATTTTAAAGTTGATACGAGATGCATACCTCGCCTTGCTGACTCTGGGTTCATTTGATGTGGTTAGTTCTTCAAGCTTGAGCTTCTTTGAGTTCTCTGGTTTTGGTAGTTGCTTGTGTTAGGATGCAGTGAAAGGCACTATCGATTAATAAACTTAAAACCAATTTCCAAATTGCGAGTCTAAGTCTAACAAGTAACAAGGCGGCATTTGGCCTTATATTTGGATTCAGTGAAATGCGGATGAATGCACAACCTCTTAGGAACTGAGATGCTACGCACAATAATAAATCTGGAAGCAAATATATAATCGAAGCGCTTTTAAACGATGTTTGACAAAAAAAAAAAGTTTTAACGAAATACTTCCGGTACTGTTTACTTTTAACGAAAAATCACATTTTACCTTTCTTTGGTACTATTTACTACATCTTTTTTTGTCTTTTTTTCATTAAAACTAAAAAAAATTTAGACGATCATCCATAACAGAAACGCCTTTTGAAAAAGCATTAGTCGTGATTTTTCAACGTGATTACAATACAAGCACTTATAAGTAAAATAACTTTCTAAAGAAGCAATTTCATACAAGCCCATCATAAACACTTCTCCATAAAGCACCAAAAATTGTTTTTATGACCCAGAAATGCTTTAATGGCTACAAGCTGTCTGTATGAATTGGGAAGCCATTTGAAGTAGTAAATTATCCATATTGTTTTACCCAGCCAGTTGGGGAGGAAGAAAGAAACTACTTACCGACATTAATCCAGCTGAGGCTGTGGCTGCAATTAAGCTCACCAGACAATACAGAAGTATGTGCATCTCGGTTAAAAGTTTGAAACCAAACTTTAGTAATTTCTGTACATCGCATGAAGCCCTGAGACTAAGATCTCGACGCCGATTACAGCCCCACGAATGAAAGAATTAAAATTAAAATCACCTAAGTTCCGATAAATCGCAGTTGTTGATCAGAGCTTTCTTGTGTTAGCCAGGCCAGAAGATGATGAGGCGTTCAGTTTGACGACCCGTTCGTCCTGATCAGACCGAAAGAGAAGGTTACTCCAGTTTGTAGACCTTTGGACAATTCTAGTAGGAACCCTGTCGCTGTCTTCTCCACCCGACGCCTCATACCCTTCGTACCCATCACTGGTTGACCTTGATAGTGGTATTCCCCTCTGGCCAGCTGCAATAGCGCCTGCAGGCAGACCTGTAAGCCGCCTTGCCTCTTCAGCTCCTGATGATGACACCCGGAAGGGATGGATGTCAGGTGAGTCTAAACTGCTCTCGGGAGAAGAAGCAACAATTCCTGTGGAGCTTGACATAGCTCGGCTTGTTTGGAAAGCACTCCGAGCTTCAAGCTGAAGAGGGGCCAAACTAGTCGATGTCTCAGTAAAGCCCTTGTCAACAGCTATAGCTGAACCCTTAGTTATAGACTCCATGGGAAGGTCAGCTGGGAGTCGCACCCGCTTGGTAGGTCGCCTTCTGTTATTGTCAGGCCTTGGAACCATTCGGCGCCCACTGCTTCCGCCAAAGCTGCTGTCTCTTTCTAGTACAAAAGGAGCATCCCGTCTCACAGGCTGCAGGATCTTGGACTTCTTTCTTGCCTCTGCTGCAGCTTTTGATACCTCTTCGGCATTTAACCTTGCCAGAGCCCACGGACTTATCTTTACTGGTGCATTCTTCTTCTTAACTGGTTCCCCTCCCACCATCTTTTTTCCGCATGAACTGACAGATCCGGTCTCTGGGGGCACAACATCAAACTGGAAAAAGGAAAACAGCAAAACAAAATCAGCTCATTTTGTTTTCTAATATCAGGGCTGTTACTGCAATTTACAGATTGGCAAGCCCTATGGAAAAGGAGCTTGCACTGATGCTGATGCTAAGGAGGAGAAACTCTAGAAAAGTCCATCACTTGGAAAACAACCACCCAATGGAACAAGTATAAACACAGATCAGGAAGCACTATCTACTGTAGCAAAACAGTTGCAGGTCAGATTACCTGATCCTCAAGGAACAGTCGTGGAGGTGTACACCATGCGCCACGGTGGAAAGTATTAAAGGAGCTTGCACTGCTTAATCCCGTAAGTGAGCTAGCAGGAGACATTTGAGCACTCTGCTGACCTCCAACTCCTTGTTGCTCTTGCTCCTGCTCCCTCAAAGCGATGATGTAATCATACGTGCTGATTCCCTGCACAATTGCAGGTTACCATTGTTAGCTAATTAACAATTTATTGTATTCACCAAAAACATATATTCTGCGTGAAAAAGGATAAGATAGGTTCTGCAAGTGAACTGTTAAGCAAGAAATTGAGGTGAAACAGACAGATATTCAATGGACAAGTATCATATTGGCGAATAATTATTAATGCTCATTGACAGTGAGACGGGTGACTAACAACTACTAGAGAAAAAGAAATCGGAGGCATTGAAACGGATCCTGAAACTGTAATGACAAAAATGATCCAAACAATTATTACAAGGACTTGATCCTCTATAGTAAATATAAAACGAAAACGCCAACATGATTATGTATGAAGCAATTGCAAGGCTAACCTTCTTTATAAGGAGGATATGAAAAAAGAAAAGCTGTGCAATCGGAAGGGTTGCAATCATAGCCAAAAGGCTGCAAGCTGCCTGCAAAGCTTAAGAATTTCATAAGTTCTATAGTACTAGCACAAATCAGATAAAATAATTCTCATCACGTAGGAATTTCTCAGCTAGACTAGAAAAGCCACGAATTTACAGAAGGTTGATTAGGACATCCAGCTAAATTGGAAATCAAGACAATAGCTGAAGACTCACCACCACAATGATGAAAGGCGCCAAAGAGAAACTGCTTCCCAACTTGGATGAAATATCCACAGAGATATGCTTCCTCTCAATAATACAGCAGATAATCACAAAGATTCCAGTTGACCATTGTAAAATAAGCTGCAATCTCAAGCACATGGTGCACAAACCATGTACATATCTGTCAATAATTAATTCGAATGAAAGTGACTTGAAAATAAAAATGCTTACTCTGAGGCCATCTTCAGGTTCCGGCTTGTTGCTTTTGGGCATAATGACAGATAATATAGGATAAGGAAACCAGGAAAGGCTGTCGAGGTAACAGTTGGGGAAAGCCAATGGTGAAAACGAAATTGATTAGCAATATTGCCAAGGAAGAGTCCTACGAGTTCTAAAGCAAAGGTCATATCTGGTAAGAATAGATGACATATGGAATCACTGGCAAAGCTTCATCAAGATTTTAAAGAAAAGGCTAGAGTGCAGGGGGGATGATCATAGGGCACGGGTTACCTGGAACTGGAGCAAACTCAAAGGGCTATTAAAGAATCTTAATAGGCAAAGAATGGAGGGGCATGCTTACCAAGAGGAGAGAAGTAACCATAAGGGTGAAAAATTGTCGGTAATTCTTTTTGCCAATACAGTTGTTAAGCCACTACAAATCAAAATTGAATGAAATTAGAGGAGTTACAAAGGCACGCAAAAGAAAATAGGATATTCAACCAATCAAGATCGTGTATACCCTGCAGTGATGATCGAACTGGTCAACACATTTGTCACAAACTCTGCAGTGCTTGCTGTACTTGTAAACCTGTGTGCGAAGAATTATTTGGATTACAGCAACTAAGTACACCATCAAAGCAAGTGCCATGAATAATTTAAGAATGGTTAGGAGATGCTTGAGAAGATATTAGGAGGAAATGATCCCCAACAGGTTACATTTTAATTAAGCTTTTCTCTTAGAAAACAAAATACAAAATAGGAAAACTAGTTAGGCAATCATGAAACGCAACCAATCCCACTTTTGCAGTAGGATATCTCCTAAATGTAAACCAAAACTAGAGTACAAAATATCTGCATGCAACACTATTGACCTGACACCTCAAATGAGTCCTTCAGTTTCCGCTGCTTGTTATTTAATGCAGAGCACGACTCAGGAAATGTATGGGAAGAAGAATGAAATTTAGTAGATGTCAACTGCATTTACACACCTCAACTTCACATAAGCTGCAATAGAACATGCCGTCTTCACCTTGTTGCAGAGATTCCTCACTTGAACCGGAGCAATTGCAGACATAAGCACACGGAGAACAAGCTAGTAGAAAGCAAGATGAATGTTCTGATGGACTCTTTCCACCATCACTGGTGGACATTTTAGAAGTCCCATCTTTGCCCAGAACATCCTTATCCAAAGGTTTTCCTCCAGCTGCATTAGCGTCATTCATTGATGATGTTGATTCCCCACATAGTTTGGAATCTTTTGTTCTTTTATGCTTTTCATCGGCTGGAATGTTGAGATATTTCTTTGACCTAAAAACTCGTGGATCTGCTGGATCAGCAGCTGCACACCAAATATATAGGCTGAAGGCACATGTAATCTGAAAAGAAAATAGATGTTACTTAACGAGGAGGGCATAGGTAGAAGTAATATTATATTGGATGCAATCAAGAAAAATGTAAATCTATTTCGTTAACTGGCACATCAAACATGTTACATGGAGCTCCAAATTTAATGGGATAATGTTGGGGAGACCAAATTTTTAAACCAAATGTGTCACCAATAGGAAATAAGCACGTTAATCAACACTTAATAATCTAATCATCAACATCCACATCCTTTCGTTTACAAAATTTGGTTTAGAAATTTGGACTGCCCGCATTACCCAATTTAATGTCCTTTCACTCAAGCAATGGGAAACTATATATGGTCTAGATTCTCAAGGCAATGAAAATAGAGAGCAATAAGAACGGTGGATTGACGTCTCAAACTTCAATTTAGTTATTTATAAAATCAACACAACTAGATTGCTACTATAGAAATGGCTGCACGGACAAAAGATATTCTCCGAACAAGCTTATTTGTAATCTCTATAGGGCACTGCAACATCAGCAGAAATCA